CATCATTATCGTCTTCTTCAGTTCCTCTCATCTTTCCTCTCAATTTCACCCGTTCGATTCATCTCACTGCTTAAGTTGAGACCTGCTCAACATTACCCTTGGTTAAAGATTAAAATCATATACATAGTGGAACTGTTTAATAATGATAGTAATAATAGATAAAACAAATTAATGTGAGGTAAGATGATTCATCGTTCTAAGATTCTTTTCTTCTCAACTCTTTTATGGGGTAAATTTCAACTTTATCTTCGGTGGAATTCAAAAATTTCATAATCAACGGTTGAGGGATCTTTGTTAGGATGTAATATTATAGAAGAACTATGAACCACTTAAGCAAATGATTCATACACAATGGCTAACAATAAATTCCATTTAAAAAAGTAAATCATATTTTTATTTTGATAACAACTCATTCGTATTTATCATTGTTTGTAAATAATTTACTTGAGATATTTTTAATTTTCACTTTCCCTAACATCATCATGAGCATGTAAAGGAGAGAGAAATACAGTAGCAGGTTAAAGCCGAAGAGAAAGAACGGTCTGAATGTAACTCTTTTTGTTTTTGTTTTTTTTGTTGGGCCAAGAATGTAACTCATTTTCAATTTTTATGATACACCAACAGAAAGCCAAAGAACAAAGAGTAAGAGATGGAAAGAAACCACAAAACCAGAAAGCATAGATGAATGTGCCAAAATCAGAGACGCAGAGAAGAGGCCACGAAGCGCAGCATAGACAAGGAGCCCAGATACCGACGAAATGTCCTGGATGATGACTTGGCAATCCCAAAAGCGAATATATTGCAAAACTTAATAAATTGAAGATGCGTGGAAAAATTAATCCACTTAAGCGTGATTAAGACCCATTTCTATACCCCGTAAGCCACGTCACATCTTTTTGACAGCGTTAATGGTCCAAGGGTTACTCCTCTAATCCTTATAGAATAAAGAAAACAGATTAATTTTAATCATATTTATAAAACATTTTACTATTTTTTATATTCATTTTTACATTTATACTCTTATTAAATATTAAAAAATTATTAAAAATATTTTTTTGTTTTTAGTAGAGGGTAAGGTCCAAATTTATTAAATTTTAAGATAAAGTTAATGACCTTTAAATATTTTTTAATTTTAATAAAATATATTAAAAGTAATTTATAAATAAAATTGGAGGGGATAAACGCTAGACATGTGAAAGTATAAGGGCTCACTTTTAACAAATAAAATTATAAGAGCCATTGAAGTGAATTATAAGAATTCATAAATATATTGTTCTATTAAAAAAAATTACCTCTGAAACAGAAGGGACCGGAAATTCAATGCCACCAAAATCAAAAGGGGTCACGGCAGTCATAAAATTGATTAACGTGAAATTGACGGTTCCTTCACTCGAATGGGCAGTCAATGCGAAGCTAAGTTGTGCGATTACGTTACGTCATGATCATTTTGACTGATGTCTTGTCCCTCGTCTCAGCATCGTTTATTAATGGATTTATTTTTAAGGCCCACCCAACACTATATTACTTATAAATTATTTTTTAAAGAGTAATAAATATTTTTAGCGAATCATTAATTTTTTTCTTTTTTTAAGATAGCATATGCGTGAGATCATGCATAATGGTATATAAAACTTTAATTATATCCTTTTATATTAATTTATTTTTGAATTTTCTTTTAAGAATGCTAGTCATCCTATTTTTTTTTTTAGAATATTGCTCTGAAATTGTGTTAAAATAAAATTTAATAAATATTATTAAAAAATTAAGTATTTTAATATTTAATAATTGTAAATATTATTATTTAAAACATTACATCCACTAAATTTAATATTTTTTATATTTTACAACTTTGTATTAAAAAAAAGGGAAACCTTCAAATTAACCGAGGGATTTTTTTTTTCTTATCTCTCTATCTTTCTCTTGTTAAGTAACTTTTGATAGCACATTAATGAAATAAATAATATCTTTTAATAAATATTTTTATTGTCATATTGTTTGTCCTACTTTATCATGTTTTTAGTTTTACTCTTAACACTACAACGTGTAAAGAGTATTAAATTTGAATAGTACAATATTTTGAAAGAAGATCTTTAGTTGACCAAAAATTACAGAAAATGACTTAAAAATTTAAAAAACTTAAGTAATATAAAAAATATAAGTAAGTTTTAATTCACACAAAAGGCATAATAATTTGGACACTTTTTGGAGAGAAGATTGAAGATCATAGATCAATATATAAAAAAAAAAAAATTATCTATAAATTTATAAAATACTTGTTTGAGTTGTTAATATTTAAAAAATAATTTATAAATTTTAATAAATATTTATAAATAATATTATTTAAATTATTAAATATAAAAATATTTAATATTTTAAAAATATCTATTAAATTTTATTTTAATAAAAATTTAAGGTATTCAATGCTTTAAGAAAAAAACTTTAAGGTACCAACGCTTTTATAAAAAGAGTATAGGGCAAATTAACACTAAAAGATATAGTCAAAGTCTTATCTATCATTATGTGTGGGGGCACATGTCATGTGCGTAGAAAATGACAAAGTTAGTGGTCTTGTAACAAAAGGATGTTTTTAGACCTCAAAAAAATACTTTAGACGAAAAATTACCCCACTTAAAAGTATAGGTTGTTGTCGCTCCCGATCAAAAATTCCTCAATAAGGAAAATTGAATAAAAATATAAATATTTTGGAGTCGCCACCAAAATTTTATAAGTAATTTTGAAAACTTTTTTTACATATGGTTTACGTATAAAAAAAAGGATAAGGGAGTCGATTATATGCAGAGAAAGTGTTAAGCACCCCACAGCATCCATTCATGTGAATGGTTATCTTAAGTTAACTATATAAATTTAAATGATCTTGAAAATATATTAATTATTCCTAATAAAAATTAAGATAAAAAGGTTAGAAAATTAAAAGGAAAAATTTTGTTTATTTATAAGTTGAACTTAACCTATGATGAAACTTTAGGGCCTATATACCCTTTTGAGGGATTAACGCTTGCGTAATTTGGGGGTAAAAATACTTGTTTCTTGGTTGGAAATTTTTTAAGAAAAAAATTAATTATTAATTTTTTATAAAATAATTTTTAGTTTTGGTTTGTAGTTTTTATTTAAGAAGATATTTTATTTCTTTATTTATGACAAAAATTTGAGAGATAATCTTGAGAAAATATTTTGATAAGATTTATGAAAATTTCATGTATCCAAATCAATCTTTCAAATAAAATTTATTTTGTCTTATTTATTTTAGGAAAACCTTCTATTTTAATTGAGGATAAAATAATTTAAAATGTACTCACAATAAGTTATTTGATTTATAAATTTGTGAGAATTTTAAAAGTCTCACACAATTGATGATTTTAAAATTATGTATATGCAATAATTTATTGCTATGTATAGGATAATAAATTAATCAGTTAATTTATAAGCTTGCATCGACTTTGAAAATCTCACGCAATCAAAAATATAAAATGCCTTGCAGATGTACATGTTGATAATTTATCCCCATATATGCTAAATTAATTAACTTAAAAAATTTATGAAGATTTTAAAAGTCTCTCACAATAAATAAATTAGGTAAAATCTTGATGAATACCTTTCAAATGATGTTGAGCTTATTCACTAAGTCATCTATCATAACTTTAAAAAATTTCTTCTTATTCAACACCTTGAGGTCCAACGATGAAGCAATATAATCAAGGAAACAAATGATGCAAGAGGAAAATAAGAATTGATTCTGGCGTCTTATCCAACATCTTCAGACTTTAAGAATGATGCAAGCAAGAACTAAGGAATTGATTCTCACAATGCTACGCGTGAAACAAGTGACCAATGAAGGAATACATTCTAGATCAATGATGGAATACATTTTAATTCATACTTAAGATGAGAAAATGTAAACTTATCTTTATGAATGTCAATCTGTTTTAATATTCATTGTCCTCTTTCTAACTATCTCCTTGAGTCTCTATCTGTGCTTTCCTTTATATAAACCTCTACACCTAGAGTTTTGCTGATATCTCAATCCTATCATGATCACTGTTAATATTTTATATATTCTTATATTATTATTATTATTATTAGTAGTAGTAGTAGTAGTAGTAGTTAGAAATTGGATATTAATTGTTATCTTTTCTATTATCATATCCTAATTATTATATTGTTTTGAAATATTCAAATCTTAATATTTAATATTAGGTTATCTTGAAATCTTCAAAAGATTGGATTATATTATCTTAAAATTTTCAAATTATATTATATTATATTCTGATTATTTCAATTATTATATTGTGATCTAGCTTGAATATATTTTTTTATTATCTTTTACCCAACTTTTTATTATATTTTCTCATATAATATTTTTTTATTCTTATTATTTTCATTTTTCTATTTTACCATAAACATTATCATATTTATTTATCAGGACTCGAATAAAATATGGTATTCACAATTGCCCAACACTACTAAAAAATAAATATAAGAATAAAATTAAACCTTAACATTTTGTTAATTGGAGCAGGATATATTGAGCACAATAACTCGTAATTGACAAGGAAAATTTTGACATGTGACGTGAATATTTATAAATTAAAATATAATTTTAATTTTTTTAATTTATATTAAGTTTTAATTTGATTTCTTAATTTTATAACGTGTTATATTTTTTGTCCACTAATTTTAGCGCTGTTAGTTTCAAATCATTTTTTCTTGTGATAGTCATTGTTATTTTTTTAAAATTAAATTTAATTAGTTAACATCTGAAAATATTTTATCAATGTCTAAACGTTTAGTGTAAAAAATGTTTGTGATAAAACTAACAGTGTTAAATTAGACTATTAAAAAATATGTTTTATAAAATTTAAAAAAAAAATAAAAATTTATGTAAAGTTACGAGCACACTTTATCCTATATATATATAGGTTAAAATTACAAATAATAAAATATAGAAAACGAATAATCCATGTCATTATGTCAGCTTGAGGTCAGGCAAAAGGGTCAAGATTTATCCATTGGGAAAGCTAAAGTCCAAACATGACACGCAATTTTTTTTTTTTTTCGCCAAAGATATGCAACATTTTGACAGAACCAAACCATGACGTGCTACAAAATTATGACGCGATTACAGCTTGTAATTTTACACAGAAAAAGAAAAAACGGAAAAACTTAGTTTCAACTACACGTAGGTGTAAAAATAATGACGATTCTTGGCTTTCTATTGTCGTCGTGGAGATATGTAATTCTCCGTGAGGCAGGGACTTCAACTATTTCCTGCTTTGCTGATGAATGGCCTTTTCAGTAGTATTCTTGGCAACATCAATTGAGGTAACGGGCAGCTCTTGCGTGGATTCCGTTACTGTTACAGATAGTGACGTCATGTCTGAATCGTCCCGGCCTTTACCCCACACCACGCAGTACAGACCCACCGCGATAATGATCCCTCCAATTATACTGTCATCAACGTAACACGCCAATAATAGAAGCATCGTAGCGTGAGTCAGTAAAATGCTTTGGTCATCCGTTTAAAACACAAACAAAAAGCAAAAGAGTGGACCGAGGTCGAAAGAATAGAAAAGACCTGCCAAGATGGAGCTGTTCGGACAGAAGGAAGGAGCCCAGAGCAGCAACGATGACCATGCAAAGGGGATTAAAGGCCGTCACGAACACTGGGCCTTTGGTCTGCAACACCAGTCCCTGCACGTAATACGCTATTCCCGATCCAGCTATTCCCTGTATATATACATCATTTCATGTATGTTTATAATAATCATCATCATCATCATCCGGCCATCATTAATTAATTATTGAATAAGAAATATATGCATGAGTAATGACCGCGTAGAGAGGCGAAAAGAGCCTGTAGTCCCAACCCAGAGACCAAGCGCCGGTGGAGTGATGCTCCCAGATGAGAGCCACCGTTCCACTCTGCAAGCTACCCACCAAGCATATCAGGCACGCCAGTGACAGTTCCGCTGGGTATTTCTTTACCGTTATAGACTGCACACGTACAATTTCGCTCATCATCAAACATCAGTTTAATTTGCAGAATTGGATTGATATACAGCAGATTGGATATATCATGAACCTGCAAGATGAAGAAACAAGACCAAGCGGCACAGCCGAGAAGTATGAAAAGTGTGCCGATGACCCAGTGTTTGTGAGGGGAATCATGGCCTCCCTCTACATGGCGCTCGCTCGCATTGTTTGCAGAGTGAAATAGGGCCATTATGGGACCTTTGTACAGCGCCATGAGCAGAGCCCCTCCGAACGTCACCATCGTTCCCACCACCTTCGCTATGCCCCCTGCCTCCTTCATCCTCACACGCTCCAACCTGACCTCGTTCGTCGCATTCACAATTTCTTGTTATCAAAATCCTTATTCATTTCTCCTGGAGGTTCGCTTATATATAAACATATATACTGTCATTGCGAGACCGTTAAGTCACGTGGTTTTGCATGTGCAAGCCATTTGACAACTTTCAAGTTTCAAACTCAATTTATAACTAGAGATTTTTTAATTACCTAAATATGATTGCTAGTACAAAGGTCATGGAGGGCACAGTATTTAGAATAGCAGAAGTAAATGTAGCGGAGGTGTACTGCATCCCCAAGAAAGTGAAACCTTGGTCTACCACCGGCCTGAAAATTACACACATGTACTTAAAATGATGTATGATATAATAACAACCTTTTAACTGCCTTTGATGACTGCTTATTTGTTTATCTTCATCTAAAAGATTAAATTATCATAAGATATATATATATATATATATAAAGGAGCGGGATGCCCCGGCCCGGTCTTGTGTGTGATAACAATCAGTTTATAAATATTCATCATATAATTAATTATACGATATAATAGCATTATTACAGGTTCTTATTTAAGTGGTATGGATATTAGATTGAGGGGAATAGGTTAAGACTGTTATTACTCCAGAAAGCCGAGAAGCATGATCTGTAAAAATACAGAGATGGTCATCTTGGGCCTCACTTTCCTGCAAAAATAGATCCAGAAGAAAGCATTAATCAGTAACACGGTAACATGAACAATTAATAGGAAAAGTGAAAAGAGGAGGCACATGACACATGCATGGGAGGGTTTTGTAAAACGAGGGGAAATTAAGAAAGAAATACCTATCGAGAAAGAAGGCGAAAGGAGCGAGGGAAAGAGCAGCGAAGGCATTGCGATAGGCACTGAACACAAAACGATTGACGCCGTGCTTCACACTGGTCATCCCGAACAGCACAGTTCCTGCTATTCCAAACTGCAATGCCACCATCATCACATAAGGCTTTCCCTTGTTCACCAAACTGCTCATCCCGCACGTTTCTCCCATCACTCGCTCTCCAAGTATTGCTCCTTCCTTGATTTTGTTCACAACACTCTGAGATGATCCCGAGTGTGTTGCAACGACTTCCTTTTATATACAAACACCCAGAGAGCGATGGTCGACACAGCCAACCCACTTGGCATAGTGCATCTGGATAAGCATATCCGACTCGACTTAGCTTGCTTATTAAAATAACTGCTTTTAGATTTATTCTCCTCTAATTAACTTCGCTCTCGTTCTTTCAAAATAAATCAAAATAAAGTTAAAAATTCCAGAGATTCTTTGATTAGTTTCTTGGCATGTTGCCAATATCGACGTATATGCGTTTAATTTGTTAGTGGAGTACCAGCTTCCTCTACGTTGAGTCAGAGCACACTTGGGAGCATGGCACCATGTTTTCCCATCAAATCCTGTTATCACATCAACACAAATATGGTGGGCTCTCCGGGGCCATCAATTTGGCTAAACTTGTTTCTATAATATTATTCATCATTCTGTGAATCTTTCTCTTTTCCAATCACAAACACTTGCTCTGCGTATTAATGACGTACGTACATATGTAGATGTGGTGGCTAGTAGACAGGCTCAATGAATATTTTAATTTGATAACTGTATTTAACTTAGATACTAAGTGCTTGTAATATTTGAATCATTGAAATTCAAACTAATAATTTAAATAAATTTACTAATTCATTAATCTCAAGTGAAATATAAATTTAAAATTATTGATTTATATTTCAACAGTTCAGATACATACGCTCAGTGCAAGTGCGTGATAATTACTTGGCTATTGATAAACTGCATGAAAATTAATACTGTATATTCGCATTGACATGTAGAACAAAATAGCTAGATGCTGAGGCCGAGAAGGGAAATTATGAAAGGGCCTTCAAAATTGTGAGCGTCATGTAAGCAATCTCTAGTTTCGTTTGTTATTGAAAGGAGAGATCTTCGTGCGCCAGGTATGTTGCGAAGTGGGTGTGCTTCGACTTTTTCTAATCTCATCCTCTTCGAAGCTTTATTCATCATTTATCATTCAAAAGTTAAGATAGAGTGCACGTTTTTGATTGGATGGTGTTGGGGTTAAGTGAAACTTCGTTTTCGTTGAACAACAGGAGAATGGCGAGAATCGAAATTATTGTAATCCCCAATAATAGGATGGTCGTGCTTATGAAATTGGAATATCTCAGTGTCGCTTTTTTCTTTTTTTTTGGTTTACAGTATCTCAGTGCTACCATGTCTTCATCTGAATGGCTCCAAAACTTATTTTCTATTAAAAAAAAGAGAAATCTGTAGCTAAAAAATTTTTAAATATGAATTCCAGTGTGCGGAATAATTCAAGTGCCCCAAATTTAAATAATCACGTCCCATTTTCAGGGCCTTTTTTAAGATTAAAAAATGAATTATTTTTAAATAGTTTAAATATTTATAAAAAGAGATTATTTTGTAGAGATTTTATGAAAAAAATATTATTTTATGTTTAGTTATGCTCAAAAATAATAAAAAATATCTTTTTAATATTTGAATTATTTTCAAAATTTTAAAGAAATATAGTTAAAATTCATAAAATAGATTTTTTTTCAAAAATAAATGAATTTTTTATAAAAATAAGCTGTAACAAAATGGACCCTTAAAGCCTCTCCTTTTTAACTTCTCTGTCATTTTCGAACTCAGCACTTGCGGCTAAAATCAAAGGTTTTACTGTTCTAGGATACAAGTCCAGAGAAAACTTGACCGAAAACTAAGGACGATGCTCTGACGATGATTAACATTGCATTTTCCCTTTCGAGGGTTTGGCGTTTCCCATCCGCTGGGCACATCACGCTCTTTATACAGATTCCTTCGATTCGATGACACAGCATATTTTGGGAAGTCAAAAAATTAGCGTTCAATTGTTTGATTTCTTTGTGCCAAAAAAATAATTTGTTGGGTTTCGTTGTAATATTTTTACCATTAAATTTAATACACACACATGATTTAAATCAAAATCTATTGAAAATTCACCTTAATTTTTATTATTGAATTTAAATGATCATTTTAAATTTTATTTAATTCATTTATACGCTGAATAAAATTTAATTTTTTGATATTTTCTGATATAAAATCGTTGATTTCATGAAAAATAATTCATATTTTTTTAAAAGCAACGACTGACGAGTTTCATAATTAGGAAAATAGCAACCAATGATCTTTATATAAAGTTTATATCAATAAGATCAATTATTATTAAAACTTAAATGAATATTTGTTAATTTGAATTAATATTTTATTAACAAGTATTCATTTAAATTTTAACAATAACTAATTCTAAATTAATAAAGAATTCGAGTTTTGATAACTTATTCTTAATTGATATAAATATTATGTACAGATTCTTGATTATTATTTTTTATTCATAATTACTAATGAAGGATATCATGTTAGTTTTTGCCTTTTAGTCCTTTAGCCTAATCACAATTGTCATGATTTTTCACAATAAATATAAATTCTTATGAGTTACTTCTCTGATTCTATTTATAGGGTCAAGGGAGAGAAAAAATTTGATCTTATTTATAGAGTATTTATCAATTTTTAATATTTTTCTTTATATTTTTGCTCTTATTAAATATTTTATATAAAAATATCAGCAATGAAATTTAAAAATATTTATTAAAAATAAAATTAATTATAATAAAATATGTTAAAATTAATTTATAAATAAAATAAAATATAAGCTATAAATTTTTCAATCCGTAAATTTTTTTTAAAAAAAATAGAGGTGATGAAAGATTGCACCCGCACACCGAGGAGAGTGCGTGTATCCATTCACCAACGATGACAAACCTTTGTAGGGAATAAAAATAAAAAATTATTGAGTCCAACGGCTTCAGATTTCATCACCTCATGGTCCAAAAGAAAAGAAGGGTCTTCAATCTTCATATTTGCCATTTGGTTGCTTCTCATTCAGCATGCATAATCAAAATCTAGGGTCCTGGAAGCACACCGTTTGCTCCTTAATCATTCGTTTTTTTTTTTTTTTTTGCTCAATGCTTTGTAATTTGAGGAAATCAATTCGAAAGGTCCAGATTTAAGTGTTTTCGCATAATGGTCACCGAGCAATACTGTTAACCCAACATGCGCACGGAGCTGTGGCTAATAGTTTGTTGTCCCCTGTAAATGAAATCTAGCGGCTTGACTTGTTTCCAATTCTGGTTTACACAAGGCAAAATCGCGTCTTCTCGACGTCGTTCTATTGAATGGGCTAGCCAAATTATCAATTGCCCTAATGAAAGCTATAAATGGTAAGCTTGCGTTGGCAAATAGAAAGAAGCTCCCTAAGTCAATTCAAACGTCCAAGACCCATTTTGGCATCAATCATAGAGCAAAGACGTGCAGGACAGAACTAATCGGTGGCCGATTGTGCAAAAGAGGAAAAAGAGAGAGAGGGAAAAAAGAAGGTTCAATTCCAAAAATAATGAAAGGAAAGAAAACCCCGGGGGGGGGGGGGCGCCAACGAGGAAGATGCACGTAAGTTGTCTGGGCACCACTACAGCGACCTGCTCTTCAGTCATCATATGCCAAAAAAAGTAAGATAGCAAAGTATTCAAGATATCTGGTCTAGGGAAATACGATCACGGGATTCCTCTAGACTCATTAAAGTATTTTGATTTAAACGTAGATTAATCATTCTTTTCCCGTGTAGGTGACATGAGAAATCTCTAATCTCTGCAATACTGAATGGGACATTGAGTGTTTCTTCCACTAACAAATTGCCATCGTTTTCGTGCATGCATGCTCATATTATCCGGTATCCTTGATCGCTACTAATCACTCAATAATTTAGGGTTCGTCCATATCCATTGGGTTCTAATTCAGGGATAAATTGCGACGTCACTCTAAAGTGCCCAAGTGCCTGAGAAATTAAATAAACATACAGCATAGTGATAGAAATATTATATGCTGGGTGGAATTCCGCATCATGTTCTTCTAAAGCAGATGCCTCATGTACTTGCAGTAATATTGCCTGCTAGACTAGTGCATTTAATAAAATAAGCATGAAAGCAGTAATAGTAATTGTCTTGTCTTCGTACAAAAGGTAGACTAAATTAGGTGTGACAGCAGAATCAAGTCAACGAGGTGAGAACAATTCAATCACATCCAAATAGGTCGTGTTTCAATTAATGGAGTTAGAAAATACTTGAATGAGTTTATTACACGGAACATGAGCACGAGAAGTCTAAAAGATATGATTCAGGAAAAGCGGCATTGACTAGATAGTTAAAATGATATGAAACAATCATCTCTAGCTGCTTCCCGAGTCTTGTATAAAAGGTCCCTTTTATTCTCATCTTCTATTGTCTGAAAGCGGCGGCTATCTTCTTTTGGAGGAGTTCCACTCCGAGACGAGGAGACAATCGCGGTAGAATTTCCTGAAAACGAGACAATCTTGACCATCACATGAAGATTCAGATAGGCGAACGGTGTGAATTAGTGATATTTAATAATGCTAATGCTACTTCCTGGACCCAGGAAGCCCAATATTAACACATCCCACCCAGCGGTGTGCCTGAAATGGCCCAAGTTCAGCCTTACCGAACCGTTTATGTTACAAAGCCCACTTCAACAGTTCATCATTTCAGTGTAGGAAAGGAGAGTAAGGATATCTCCCAAACTATCTGAATGAAGCTTCTACAAGGGCTCTATTGACATCCTCGTGGAGTTTTCTAACACGACATAGCAGAAGGGAAAACATTGATTGGATTGCCATGGAATGAGAGTTATCTTTCTTGCCATATGATGTCAGACTCAAAAACAACTTTACAACTAAAATCAAAGTGTCATTCATAGGCAACTGCAATGAGTGCGTCTGATTGGATCTCCGTGAGGCTAATTTGGCAATTTCATGTCACTTTTCTCCATTAGAACTCCTAACCTAATAATATCGGTCGAACGTTCAAGTCATAATCACTTCCTACGCAAGAAACCCAAAAATTCTCAGTTTTCCAGAGTCCTAATCCATTAAATAACTCATCAAATTAAAGTCTTAAAACCTTAATATCAGGACGAAAGAAACCTGTATGATCAACTACAGCAGCCAGACGCTTTAAACTTCTGCTCTATTCAACCCCTACTCAATCTAAACTTATTTCACCCAGCCAATGCTCCTCCATCAATAGAGATTTTAAAAGACTATTGACATGCCAAAACATAATTGAAAGAACCCAAATTTTATTAGTGTATATAAACTGAACGTGAATGGAAATAAGGCTTATTTTTCTGTAAGGACTGACTTCGTTTACATATAGAAGCAAAACGTTCAGTAATTATGCAATCATAAATAACATGCAAACACCAGAAGAGAGTTGGAGGAAAGATAGCGTGGTACCAAAGGGTGAACAAAACCAACTACAAAAAGTAGGAAGAATACAGATTCAAATGGGTGGCAAGGGGCTAATCTTGAATGAAATTTTACAGTTGAGTCAGGTAGTTTGGGACTTTGCAATACCGCAGATCATGACAATTGTCCCTGTTTTCAATATATCTTCATGAGCATGGCAAGAATAATTAATCCATTTATAACATTTTAATCATCACTGAAAATCGTTGTTTCGTTACTGATTGCTATTTGCTGCTCTGCCTACAAGAAGGAAATGAGGTGCCAGGCAATATTTAAATCTAGGGCCGTCAATTTTTTTTTTTTTAAAGATGGGGTGAAATGAGGAATTTTAGATGGAAAGTAGGCTTTGGTAGAAACAAAGTTGTGTCTTTACTTTGGCTCATCAAAAAGACTCTTGTGGATTACGGCTTCAGGAATAATTGAAAGTTCCTGTGTGTTATGTAATTGTAATAAATAAGAAAATAATTAAGATTTATTTCGGGCTTAAATAGATTTAGAAATGACTTAAGATTTAAATAGGATTTAGATAGGATTTGATACTTAAACATATTATTATTACTATTATTATATTGGTAGGTTTTGGATAGATTAGGATACACATTCATATGATAATAATGCCTATAAATAGGAGGTAACAGAGTACCTAATTTCAGACTTTGATTTCCAATGAGAATTACACATTCGGATTTGTTCTCTTCATTTCTCTGTCTCATTTCTCTATTTCCCCCCTCTCTCTTTCCAATCTAAATTCTATAACACTCTGGCCTTCTGCTGAAGCCGGCTCTTGTCAATCAGAAGAATCTTCTTTCTCGATGCTCCTCTGAAGATAGAGATCCTAATATACAAACTACACGGAGAGATATTATGTGAATTAAGTGCTGAATTTTTGGACTTTTCTTATGGTGTCCTACCGATACAAATCACGGTGGGTTAGCTAAGAGTTATTTTATTTTGCCAGCTAATTATGAGTTATTATATAATCATATCAATCATCTAGCTTATAACAACATTCCTGATAAAAGTGAAGTTGACACACACACGACGCGCACAAAACTGGAGAAATAACTTGTGGATTGTGGTATATACTGTATCATGAGACCTTGTCACAGTAAATTATAAGCCCTGATAAACTAGGCATTGCCTGGTTCACAAGTCATAGGTCTTCACCGCTGAAAATTCGATATGAATGTGCAAAATGAGCACCTGCAGATACCTTATCATAACTCTGAAGTCACTGCTTCCCAACCACAATGAACCCCCCCTGCCTTTCCCTACTCAATTGTCATATTGTCAAGCAATAAGCGCTATAGAGTTTCTTGCAGGTCAAGTCAGTGTATAGGCTGCTGTAAATGTTTGAAGCTCTCAAGCTCCACCATAAAGGTCAAAATTTGTTCTATGATAGAGGTAGCATGTGACTCCTGGCTTTGGGTAAACTAACCAACACACACACACACACACACACGAAAATAGCAGTTAAAGAGACCGAGGCACGAGCTAAAGAAAAGCCAATTAACCAAGATGGCGGTCCCGAAAAACCAAGCATGGTATTTGGAACTGACCTCTGTGCCATCGGTGTGTAATTTGGTCAACACGGGTATCTCATATTGGTAAGCTCTTTCCCATTCCGGATTGCTAGTTATATCCCTTATCTGAGAAAAATAAACATGAGGAACCTGATATTCAAACATACAACGAAAAAGAAGGGGGGGAATACCTGCAAATCTACATCATGAAGTGAATCAGGACCAGAGAGCAAGAAAACAGCTTGAAGTTTGCCTTTGAGACCATCGCATAAGCAGCAACCGGGCTTCGAGTAAAGGACGAGCCTTCGAGAAGGTGCGGAAGGCGAAGATGGAGATGAGAATGAAGAAACAGCGAGGGGCTTGAAGACCCAACGACCGCTTGGTCTGTTTACCAGGAATACGGAGGAGGGCCTTGCTAACGCAGCCGCCGCAGCTGCGGTTGCAAATGCCATTGGGGCTGGCCGGATGCAAGAATAGGGTACCAACAGTTGATATTGCTTGGAAATAAGTGTTCAGTGCGCACGCCCTGTGTGCTCGGTGTAGATTGGCTGCCCAATGATGCCGTCGATGTCTCCTTCTGTCAGTCCCTCGCTACAGGGGATTGCTTTCCTGTGGATGTTTCTTCGTCGGGATTTTTCTTTTCCGCATTTGCGGAGAAAACGTTGCTATAGTTTAATTGAAAAAAAAAAAAATTGTTATAGGATACACTACACAATGAAATGAAAGGCAACGATCGTTAATACAAAATATACAATGAAGGGTGACGGAGTAAAATAAAACAAAACATGTTTATTAAAAAAACAAATGATTTTATTTAATTAGAATTTAAGAATAATTATAAAATTAAGATATTTAAATCAGATGTAATTATATTTTTCAGTTTTACAATGAAAAGAGTGAAAGAGTAAGGGACGGTGAGAAGGAGGAGTATAATTTTATAATAATATTATTTATATCATATCATTTTATCCTTAAAAAAATAGGTTTACGACAATAATAGATGGCTTGGATGACTACTCAAGCCATTTCACTCTTTTTAAAAAAAAAAATTCAAGCAATAATATAAAGCTTCTAGTCATTCTATTTTTTTTAAAAAAAAAATCCCAAATATTACCTAAGGGAAAAAATGCTTAAATTTTTTTTTAAATGAACACTAGATATCCTTATCTTTTAAAAAGAGCAATGTTGTCTTGTGAGTAAAGTTGATAATTTAAATTAAGTTTGAATCCCTTAAAAAAGTCTAGGGTAGAGCTTAAAAAAGTTTTGAACCAAGGGCTCAAATACTATGTATACTTTGTGAAACAAAATAAGTAACTTCGAAGTAAAAAAATTAATCAAAAATAATTTTGGAAATAAAATTTAGATATTATGGTTGTCCAAAACTAGAATGAATTTGGATCAAGTTTAGCTATTAGTAGAGCTAGAAAAATAAGTTGAACCTGTAAAGTTAGCCCGTTTAAGTTCGATAATTATTAAGGTTGAGCTTGAGTTCTAGAGTTTCAAAATAAAAATAAATTTAGAAGGGCTAACTTTAATGGGTTGAGGGCCTAAACGGGCTAGCCCTATAAGGCCGAGGGCCAGCCCGTTTAAGTTGATTTATTTATTTATATTTTAAAAATTATTTATTAATATAATATTATTCATATTTTTGATAATGTTTCAAATATTTAATTGTCATAGTATTTTTTTTTAGAATTAAAATTTATATAATACTTTGATTTATTTAATATTTTTTAGATAAAGTTTGGTTTGTTTAATTATAGACAATGATATATTTAAACAAAAAATTAATTATTTAATCTAATTTAGATTTTAGACAATAATTTGATTCATGTTAAATACGCGTGTTAATATTTTTAAATTATATTTTTTAATAATAGATTATTTTTATATTTACATAATTTTGTATTGTATGACTTGAATTAGAAATTTATAAATTTTAATATTTTATTATTTAAAATAATGAAATTTTTGCATAATCAAGATATTGTTAATATTAAGAATTAAAATGTTGTATTTGTAATTTAACATTAAAGTAAAATTTTATATTATAATACCATGAATGAATTATTTTTAATTTAAAAAATGAAAAAAGTAAAAGGGCTCGAATCTGGTAGGACCGATCTTAAGTGCATTATAATTAAGGCCAGGCTTGAGATATAAGCCTCTTAAAGAAAACTCAAATTTAAAAACGTTGGCCTTTTTAAGTTCGAGCCCGTTAGAAATCAACTCATTTTTTCAACTCTAGCTATTAAGCCATTTAAAAGAGTAGGCTTGTTCATGTCAAATCTAAATAAGTCTGGCTTGTCAGAATACCCAACTCTACTTGGAAGCGTTAAAAGTTTGGTAATTTTACCGCACAAGTTAATACTTGACTACAGGAACTTAAAATCAATTCCAGGAAAGAATACAGCCTTGCTTGCTTGATTTTTGTGAGGAATGTCGTTAAGCATCTGTCTTGCTTCTTCCGACCTTCCATTACTGATCAACCCTGAAATTAGTGAATTCCGGGCAACCAATGAAGTCCAGAGAGAATAAGCCATTCATGGAGGTCTGCACCGTGGGTTGTTTCAAGAAAGTTTCGTGCTTCCTGATGCCAGCGTCTAGACAGGTAATGGAGGAGCAGAGAATCATTGAAAATGGGATTTGGGTCTGCATCATGGACCAACAAGAATGGCCACCACCACTTGGATCGGGTGTTGAAGCCGCACTTGCCTCCAGTTGCCTCCCACAAACGTCCAGTTCAACACAAACCCTCTTCTCACCAAATCTTTGCTGATCTCTCCTTTCTTCATTCCGTTTTCTATCATCTTCGTCTTCACCACACTTCTCCAGCATATTTTAATATTTATTTTAAATTTTAAGACTCATTTTTTTAAAAAAAATTTTGAGTCCTATACATTGTTAGATTATTTCAAAATATATTTACAATTTTTATAAAATAAAATAATTATTTAATCATGCATGTTCCATGAATATTTCTGTTTCAAAAAAATATTATTTTTTACCGGTTTTTAATGTGTTACGTACGAGATGATTTTCTGAGTAATAATCATTTTTCTTGGTCTATTTTGAATTTATATTTCATCATTTTATTTTAAGGCAGTTGAACCTTTCTATTTAGTAGTCTCATTTAAGGTATTGGTGGGTTTGTATTTTATAATGCGTTTTTTTATCACACTTGTCCAGATACCTTCTTATATAATATTCTTAATTTATTAATTTTTTTTCGACTAGCCATTAATTTATTAATTTTACACGCATTTAAAATTTATTAAATTTTTTATAAAAATTATAAAAAAAATAAATAGAGATGTAATAGTATAATTTTATTTTTAGTCATATAAAATTCACATACCACATATAATCATCGCCTCTGGAATAGTTTTCACAAACATCAAATTGGAAGCCTCATAGCAATGAAAATGCCATCGTCCAGATAGACCAAGTTTCCTGGGATGACCATGAGCTCGTTCTCATGATGGCTACAGACAAAATTAAAACGGCTTTATAATATGATTTATTCATTCTGTCAACTAAAACTTAATATATGATATTATTAAGTGGCATGCATGTTGTACCTCGAAACCCTTTTTACCATTTTGGATCAAATCAGCTCATTATATGATTATGGAAAATGTTAGATTTGCACATATTCCTTAGTGAACAATATTTATTATTGTCATTGGACTTTAATAAACCTCATGGTAGAGGTGAGCCATGAGCCAAGATCCTGGCCATGAGGTGCAATATTTTTAAAAATTAATAATTTAAAATTAATTTAATAATTTTAAAAAATATTATATTTTACATGGTTCATGGTATAGAATTATTAAGTAATTATTTCATTATCGATACTAAAAAAATATTTTTTTAATATAAGTCACTAGACAATTATTCATTTATAGGTCTCCCATATGATTTTGCAACTAATTTTTCATAAATTTCATAACAAAAAAAAATCTTTTCACCGTTGTTGTGGCAAGTAGTAATTTCAATACTAACTTTAAAAAATCATAAAATTTGCTGGAACTTAAACATCTTTAGGATTGGACAAAGGTATACAAAATATTTAAATCAATGAGTGCAAAGTATTGAAACACATGAACTATTATTGTAATTTTTTTTAAATTCAAGAAGTGCATTTGCCTATGCCTCATAGTGAATTTGAGCTCTTTTCTTAATTTTTTTTTCTATACCCTCTTCCTATCGTTCTTTTAGACATTTCTAAGTTGCACTACTGTAAAAATCTAAATACAAGACACCATAAAAAATAACGGTTAAATAAAAACACGTCATATGAGCGAGCGGGGGGAGGTAATGGTCAGAACATAAATGAGGGTATTAAACAATCATCATTTATTGTCAGACGTTAAATGATGGGTGTTTAAAATATCTATCATTTAAAGGTCACTACTACAAAATTTTAAAATATAAGATACCCTAAAATATGACGGTTATAAAAAAAGTTGTCATTTAATAACAAAGCGGGTGATAGTAATAAATATACAACGGGTACATAGATATTATTATATTTTATTTTTTAAAAAAATAAAATATAATAAATGCATGACAGGTGTTTGAAAGTTTAGAAATAGCCTCGGTCTCCTTTCGCTTGGGTCAACTGAGTGAAACACTTAAAGTAGACTATGTGCCCTAGTGGAAAAGAGATAGGTCTCTAGGACCTCATTTAGCTGTCTTTGATCGATGTCGATATCTTAGTCAACCTACTGATAGCCCTTTTAAGTTTCTGGGCTTTGGGTTGCAATGCTGTTTGGTTCTTGAAGTTATGGATGATATCCTTCGGTCCTAATGTTTCCTACCACTTCTTAGCACTCTTCTGTAATAGGAATATTGCCAGCTGCACCTTCTGATTAGAAATGCACCAGAACCATACGAAAAAATACTCTCCAATTGATCTATCCATTCTTCAACCACCACTGGCTTAAGTTTCATCGAAAGTAGGAGGATTAAACTTACGAAAAGTACTCCAGATCTTTTGTGATCGTGGATATCTGTTGCTCAGAGTAAAGATCACATTTTCGAACTAGTCTCATTGTGAGAATAGGAAGGTGAGCCTCCATCAGCAAATTGACTTATGTGCCCTAGTGGAAAGAGATAGGTCTCTAGGACCTCATTTAGCTGTTCTTTGATCGATGTCGATATCTTAGTCAACCTACTGATAGCCCTTTTAAGTTTCTGGGCTTTGGGTTGCAATGCTGTTTGGTTCTTGAAGTTATGGATGATATCCTTCGGTCCTAATGTTTCCTACCACTTCTTAGCACTCTTCTGTAATAGGAATATTGCCAGCTGCACCTTCTGATTAGAAATGCACATAACCATACGAAAAATACTCTCCAATTGATCTATCCATTCTTCAACCACCACTGGCTTAAGATTTTCATCGAAAGTAGGAGGATTAAACTTACGAAAAGTACTCCAGATCTTTGTGATCGTGGATATCTGTTGCTCAGAGTAAAGACTCACATTCTTCGAACTAGTCTCATTGTGAGAATAGGAAGGTGAGCCTCCATCAGCAAATTGGCTTACATTAATATCTTGGCATGGCTTCCTTCTTGTTGGCCATTTCCCTCTCGGTTGGCATTCTCCTTATATTGTCTTAAAGCGGCCAACTCTTCTTCTTGCCTCTCCATGCGGTTACTAAGATTATGCAGTAGATCCATCATTTGCCTCATGGTTGGCTCACCCTGCCTT